CCCGCGTCCAGCAACTAAAGTTTTTAAATTTGGAATTTTGAATATAACTTCCCTCGCAAAGTCAAGGTCTATTTTAAAAATAAAAAAGAAAAAGAGAGGAGTGAAAACAGTTGGCATTCAATTGAATCCCAGCCGGAATAAGTGCACCAATTCTCTACAAAATTTGCCATTAATGGTTTCTTGAATATGCCAGGTTAGTCCTTTTTTTCCTCCTTATTACCTTTAGCTTCCATTAAATTATTGTCTAATTTATTATCCTTAGTTGATTTAAGCAATCCAGAAATTTTTTTTTTTTACATGTGATTTATAATAGAGTGCCTTCGGCCACTATATTAGCTAGTCAATCAATAAATAAAGAAATTAAGTACTCACCAAAAGACCAGTATGGCATAGGAGCAGGCCGACCAATGAGCTCTGTATATTGATCCATAACCATCTTTGGAGAAGGCCCAGTAAAGAAATATAAATCAAGAATACCACCAATCACCTTATAAGTGATTCTATCACCAGTGTACACAATGTCCATGCCATTACTGTTGAGCAACAAAACACCGTGGGTGGTCCCTGCGGGCACACTACCCTCAGAATCCGGCGACCTGACGTCAACGTAAAATGGGTGGGACCCATATAGATTGACGTCTAGATTGGCACTTCCAATATCGGCATTCCACAGGGTTAGTGTTTGAGGATAGGTCAGCTTGAAGGACTTCTTAGTGTGCTCTCCTAAACCGTAGAGGGAGGATCTGTTGAGTGGTAATGAGGAGGATAGTTGGAGGTATTGGTCTTTGAAGATGAGAAATGTGTTGGGATCTGAGGATTCCGGCGAAGTGTTGAAGAGGGGGTCGCCGGAGGAGCGGCGGGTGATGGCGAAGCCAAATGGGGTGGTGTTATGGAGGGTGAAAATGAGGTCTGAATTGGGATGTGAAAGAGATTTGTTTTCCGGTGGTGGTTGGTGGTTTTCTTGTTGCGATTGGTGGTTTACAGGTGGTGGTAGGCGAGGGAGGATGTGCTGAGGGACTTCCCATCTTTGGTGGTTCGCATCGATTATTCGGATTCTCAGACGATCACTTGTTTCAAAGCTGTGCAAGCCAATAACCAAAATACAAAATTTATACAAATGAATAAAAAAGCCGATAAATGCCACTTGATCAAAATTTAATTCAAGCCGTATATAACTTTAATTGGTTTAAATTTTAATATGTAAAAAAATATAATTTTTAATAAATTAGAATTTTAATTAGTGAGAATTAAATTTTGATTAGTTATAATTAAATTTTAATCGATCTAAATTTTAATATATAAAAAATGTTAAAAAATAGAGAGAGTCTCGTTAAAGATATACTTATCTAAAAGGGGTATGGATGAAATTTTTTCTAAAATATAAATAAAGGTAGTCTCATTAAAGATATGTTTATCTAAAAAATATGAATAAATTTTTTTTTAAAATATATTATGGGCAATTTATGATGCATTTGGCAACTATTTTGTTTATATATATAATTTTTTTAAAACAATACGACTAATTTTTATTTTTTTGTAGTAAAAATTAAAAAATATAAAATATATTTGATACTCATTTATATTTAAAAAAATATGAAAATAAAAATATAAAACATGTTTGATATGTTATTCAAAATCTACCACCCAACACCATCTAAACCCACCACCAGCAACCCCTGCAATCCACCACCCACCACCCCGAAAACCCACCGAAACCCACCCCAAACTCTCTGCAATTCACCACCCATCACCTTGAAAATTCACCCCCACCAACAACCATCCAAACCACATCGAAAACCCACCCCCAAACCCCCTGCCATTCACCACTCTGAAAACCCACCCCCACTAACAACCACGCAACCCCACCGAAAACTCACCCCAAATCTCCTGTAATCCACCACTCACCATCCCAAAAAACCACCTCAACCAACAACAACCCAACACCCCCGAAAATCCACCACCTCCCACCCTCTGAAACTCTTGAAATTCACCCCTAATATGGAAAGGAGTGTCAGTGAAGATTCAAAAAATAGAAGGGGTGTCCTTGAATATATGGTAAAGTAGAAGTAGTATGACCAAAATTTTCCCTTATTTTTTTTAAATGGTATTTTTGATCCAATTAAGTCATAATATTCTCAATCTTTTTAATACAATATCGAAAGTACCTTGTAAAGAACTTGCCATCAGTTGACTTTACTTAAACATCTACCATCAGAAGATTACCTGGCTAGGAGGTGGAGATTCTGAATATCTGGCCCAAAAACTGAGGAATTCTTAATGAGCTGAAGATTTGCAGTCAATGATTTTCCAGCAGAATCTATGCCAACCGATCGGATTGTGTAACCATATCCAATTGCTGGCTTAGCTTCTGACTCTGCAATGCATATTGGGGAGAAGTGAGACAGAACTATAACACAGAACAAGATGGAGAGAAACTGACCAAGAAAAAGACTCATTCTCTCCTCTGAATTTTGGGTGACTCTGGAAATTAGGACTGTCCTTTTACATTATGCTTTTCCACAAAAGAACAAGATGTCATTTTCCACACCCCCACAATTCCACCTGTTTGTCCGTTCGTATGGTTGCATATGTTCAGATTTGCCATATGCCTATACTAGCCATCCATCCATGTTATGCACGAGACTTTCAACCTTTCATCTTCTTTTTAACTTTTCTTCCAAATCTTTCTGTGTCTCATCCGATACTTGGAAAGTTAGATAAATAATTGGGTTAATAGTATTTTTAGTTTTTAAAGTATGTATTTTTATCAGTTTAGTTCTCATCGTATCAATTTTATCAGTTAGTTTATAAAGTGTTCAATTTGCATCATTTCGATCTTTACATAGACGGACCATTAAATTTTTGACAGAATAATTACGTATTAGACACGTGATACAGTCTAAACAAATGACGGTTGATCACTTCCATCGTATTTGTATAGATTGTTCAATTGTTGAGATTTTTATATTTCTTTGGGATTCTGTTCGATGTAATGTTGATTGCTGTGCTATTTTGTTTTTTTGGGGACACACGTGTTTGGTGCACTAGGTGATATGATTTTGGTACTAAGATGCGATTGTGGCCATGAGGGGCATATATTAGAATATAATGTATCGGGTGACACCTAGCATGTTGTCGAATAACATTAAAAGTGTTATTTTATTATGTTTAGTGTTGGTTAATTAGACTGTATTTTAGAGTGTATGCGCCAAATTATTCAATTTTTTAATATGATGATCATTTTATGTGTTTGTTTATTTTTGTAGAAATTTGGAAGGAATTATATGACTATTGGAGTGATGCAAAGCAAGTAGACAATGAAGGAAGAGAGTGGAGCTGGGGGATCGTGATCAAATCAAAGAAAATGAAACTTTTATAGAGAAATAAAAAGTTTAACACCTTTCATTCTTATTACTTTTTTAATATGAAAAAGAAAAAAAAATAAAATCATAAGATCGTTTTATTCAAAACTTCAATTATGATATCCCTTCTCTCACTTCACACCTCAAAACGAACCAATGAAGCCATGAATGACGTCGACCATATTATAAGAGGAATGATTAGCCTATCTCTCGGTATTGGGTCACAATGCGAAACTTAGAAGAGTAAGGGTCAAACTTAGTTTAGTGCTTAGGGAGGAACCTTATATACAATTAATTGAATCAATCTAAAGTCAAATCCTCACTTTCGGAGCGGGAGAGCTTCGAATCCGCCTTAGTAGAGAGCAATGGCAGAGATATAGTAGGAGTTCACCCTTAGACATTATTTGGTATGAAATTCTTCATACATGTGTCCAGACGTATGGTTTCCATTTGGACGCAACCCCACCTATTGGACAAGAAAGAAAAGATATAAAATTTTTATTTGGATAGCAAACAACATACAGAAGCACATTTTTCGTCCGAACACACTTGGAGACGTTTTGATAGAGATCTAGTTCCGTCTGGCACATGAATCTAGGAACTTGCGGAGCAAAGATCTAATGATTTTGATGAATGGTGAGCTAGTCTTTAAGAGTTAGAAACTCTCTTTGATAATGTAGTAGAGTTGAGATTTCACCTCTAATGAGTTCTCTCTCAACTAGGTGCTTTTTATTGGTGGTTCTCTATGTAGTCAGATAGTTTTATTTATACTTGACGATTATCAACTAGTTGTTACCACTTACCAGGATAATCTCTATGACCAACAAATATTTTCCTCAACCCCCTTGCAGTCAAACTAGGCTAAAATACTCCGAGTATAATTTAACTACATTAACCTAGTCTTTATTACTTGATGGATCCTTCTAGCCAAGTCACTCTTGCTGACTAGAAAAGATCCAACTCAAATATTCAATCATATTAATGCAATATATATATATATATATATGCATGCACTATTATAAAATAATATTTAATACATAATAATTTTATAAAAAAATGCATATATGATTTATGACATGAATAATGTAATATTTAACCAAAGGATTGAAGTTTTATATATTCTGGATTTGACCACCAACTATGACTTGCTTAATTTCGAGGATTTTAGTCATATTTATTCTAACATCTCTCACTTGCCTACAAACCCTAGAGAACTAGGTGTTTCACAATGGTAGTTCTCTATGTAGTCAGAGAATTTTATTTATACTTGAGGATTATCAACTAGTCGTTACAACTCAACAGGATAATCTCTACGATTATCAATATTTTTCTTAACTCTTTGCAGTCAAACTAGGCTAAAATATTCCAAGTATAATTTAACTACATTGACCTAGTTTTCACTACTTGATGTGTCTTTCTAGCCAAGTCACTCATGCTGACTAGAAAAGATCTAACTCAAATATCCAATCATATTAATGCAATATATATATGTATGAATGCACTATTAGAAAATAATATTTAATACATAATAATTTTATAAAAAAATGCATCTATGATATACGCCTTGAATACTGTAATATTTAACCAAAGAATTGAGGTTTTATATATTCCAGATCTAACTACCAACTGTGGCTTACTTAACATCCAAGATTTTAGCCACATATATTCTAACATCTCCCACTTGGCTACAAATCCGAGATGTTTATTCGTAACTTAAATTTATAGGTTTTGTCAATAGGTCTGCAACTGCATCTTTTGTACAAAGATAATCCATAGTAATATTTTTTTTGTATTATATTTGTAGCTCAATATACTTACTTTTTGGCCCAATTTTTTCATTTTTAATGGTTTTTACCAAAGCCTCATTATCACAAAAAGTACGAATAGACATATTATTTACAAGTAAGCTTTAATCAGTTAGAAATCATTTTAACCATACAGCCTAAAAAAAATTCATTCTACAAGCAACATATTCAGCTTTAATAGTACGTTTAACTATGCAACCTTGTGTTTTACTCTACCAAGAAATAACATCATCACCAAAAATAAATATATAGCCCATGGTGGGTTTTCTAACATCAATATCACTAGCAAAATCAACATTACAATAACTATTAACTTCTATATCATCAGTATGATATGCTANATATATATATATATATATGCATGCACTATTATAAAATAATATTTAATACATAATAATTTTATAAAAAAATGCATATATGATTTATGACATGAATAATGTAATATTTAACCAAAGGATTGAAGTTTTATATATTCTGGATTTGACCACCAACTATGACTTGCTTAATTTCGAGGATTTTAGTCATATTTATTCTAACATCTCTCACTTGCCTACAAACCCTAGAGAACTAGGTGTTTCACAATGGTAGTTCTCTATGTAGTCAGAGAATTTTATTTATACTTGAGGATTATCAACTAGTCGTTACAACTCAACAGGATAATCTCTACGATTATCAATATTTTTCTTAACTCTTTGCAGTCAAACTAGGCTAAAATATTCCAAGTATAATTTAACTACATTGACCTAGTTTTCACTACTTGATGTGTCTTTCTAGCCAAGTCACTCATGCTGACTAGAAAAGATCTAACTCAAATATCCAATCATATTAATGCAATATATATATGTATGAATGCACTATTAGAAAATAATATTTAATACATAATAATTTTATAAAAAAATGCATCTATGATATACGCCTTGAATACTGTAATATTTAACCAAAGAATTGAGGTTTTATATATTCCAGATCTAACTACCAACTGTGGCTTACTTAACATCCAAGATTTTAGCCACATATATTCTAACATCTCCCACTTGGCTACAAATCCGAGATGTTTATTCGTAACTTAAATTTATAGGTTTTGTCAATAGGTCTGCAACTGCATCTTTTGTACAAAGATAATCCATAGTAATATTTTTTTTGTATTATATTTGTAGCTCAATATACTTACTTTTTGGCCCAATTTTTTCATTTTTAATGGTTTTTACCAAAGCCTCATTATCACAAAAAGTACGAATAGACATATTATTTACAAGTAAGCTTTAATCAGTTAGAAATCATTTTAACCATACAGCCTAAAAAAAATTCATTCTACAAGCAACATATTCAGCTTTAATAGTACGTTTAACTATGCAACCTTGTGTTTTACTCTACCAAGAAATAACATCATCACCAAAAATAAATATATAGCCCATGGTGGGTTTTCTAACATCAATATCACTAGCAAAATCAACATTACAATAACTATTAACTTCTATATCATCAGTATGATATGCTAATGAAAACTCTAATATACTATGCATATATCTAAGTATGTTTTTCACAACTAACCAATAAGATAAACTAGGATTACTTTGATATCGACTAATCAAACCAACAAGTTAGCTAAGATCTGGTCTAGTGTATAACATAGCATACATAAGACTACCAACAACTTTTGCGTAAGGTTTCAATTTCATTTCTTGTATTTCTTCTTCAGTTTGAGAAGCCATATTTTTTGATAATTTTGTTCCTTTGTAAATGGGTGATTCAATAGGTTTACAAGAATCCATTTTGAATTTCTTTAAGATATTTTCCAAGTAAGGTTTTTAAGACAACTCAATTTTCTTTACTTTCTATCTCTAAAAATTTTAATGTCAAATATATAATGTGCTTCACCCACATCTTTCATTTCAAACTTGGTGTTTAACCAATTCTTTAGTTCTAAGATACTATTTATATCATTTTTGACAAGTAAAATATCATTTACATACAAGAAAATAATAATATAATAAGTCCAATTAGACCAAGTATATAAACAATGGTCATAGTTATTTGGAACAAAATCATAGGATATAATTATATTATGAAAAGTATGAAACCATTGCCTTGCGGATTGTTTAAAGTCATATGAGGACTCATTCAATTTGTATGCATTATCTTCTTTATCTTCAATTTGATATCCTTGCGATTGATACATATAAATTTCTTCTTTAAGTTCATCATTAAGAAAAACAGTTTTAACGTCCATTTGATGTAACTATAAGTCAAAGTATGAAACCAAGAACATTAATATTCTTATTGAGGTAA